CTCCAAGTATCTGAAGTATTGTGTCCTGACAAAAGAAAGACTTTGAAACAGTAAGGTTGTCCCGAAAAACAATTACTTATAGGATTAAAGTAATCGATAGGCAGCTTGTTTCACAACTGGAGTCAAAAGATAAGAGAGTTTAAATTCTGTTCATTTGCATTGGATGAAAGTACAGACATAACTGAAACGACTTTATTACTGACATTTTAAGATGTATTTTTTGTGTTACTGAAGAATTAGCATATGCATACAACGTCCAATAAAGGGAACGACAAAAGGATCAGATATCTCTCATGATTACAGAAACTATCATATCTTTGAAAGTATCTGTGAGCAACATTTGTAACATTACTACTGATGGAGTACCAAATATGTCAGGGACAAAATCTGATTTTCTTGGCATGTTCAAGGAATCATTTCCTGGGATCGAAGTAGTATTTCTTCATTGTGTAATACATCAACAATTTGTTCACGAGCTCTCAATCATAGACAATTTCAAGAGTTTCTTGATTCATTGCAATCTGAATGTTCTGATGTACTTTACTACACTGAAATAAGATGTGCAGGTCGGGTTTTTGATCGCGTTTAGGATCTTAAATACGAAATAATCTCTTTCGTAGAAGAAAAAGGAACGGATGAGTGTGAACATTTAAAAGATATTTGCAAACTTCGTATTTTTTACAGATCTTCTTAGTCACATCAATCAATTGAACGCTAAACTCCTGGGAAGAAATCAATTAATCCATGATATTTGAGGTCATATCAGGGCTTTCAAAAAGTAATTGAATCTTTTTTTCTAAGCAACTAGGCAAGAAAGACCTTACTTATTTTCCAAAGCTAAAAACTATTACAGTTAGGAAATACATTCTTAAGAGCAATGAGAAAAGCATGAAATGTCTTCATGACGAGTTTAAGCGAAGATTCCAAGATTTCAAAGTTATCGCAGAGGACCTGGACATTTTCATCATGCCGTTTAATGTGGACTGTGAATCAGTAAATGTAATACTGAATTGAAGCAACTGTTTCTCAATGTTTCTAAAACTGAGTTCTATAAGGCCCTATCTAAGTTTCCCAAACCTGAAATTTCATGCTTAGACGATAACTACAATGTTTGCATCTTCCTACACCATGAAGCTACACAAAAAACAGCATTAGAAACCGAATTGACTTACTAGCACAAGATTATAAACAACTTTTAGAAGCTCAATTTCATATGTCACTTACACCTTCATACTCTGCTAGAGAATAATCTATTCATGAAATTTTTTACCACTTAAATATAAATTTAAAATTAAAATATAAAGTTTATCACTAATAAAAACTTGTTTTATTACATTTTTTTGGTCCACCTACAGAATGTTTTTATTATATGTGACAAAATTAAAATGACCACATATAAAACACTAATAAGGCCAGTGTTAACATACGGCCAGAAACGTGGTCACTTACACAGAACGACCAAGAACTGCTTAGGCGTTTCAAGAGAAAAATTTTAAGGAAAATATATGGAGGAGTCCAAGAACAGGGTTTGTGGCGTAGGCTCTACAACTTTGAATTATACAGAAGTTTTGGGGAACCTGACGTTGTAAAATCTATTAAATTAGCACGCCTTTGATGGATAGGACATGTAATTAGGCGAGATGAAGATGCAAAGATCAGAAAAATTTTCGACCGAAGAGAACCGGTGGGAAGACGATCCAGAGGAAGACCAAAACTCAGGTATCAAGATAACATAGAGGATGATCTAAAATCCATCGGAGTTAAAGCATGGAGAAGAGTTGCCAGAGACAGGGGAGAATGGAAGATTGTTCTGAAGAAGGCTTTGTGCCTTCTGACGATAATGATGACACTCCGCTTAAATAATTTGCCCAATGTAAAAAAATATTCATTTGGATGGAGAAACCTATGATGGATGGCTTACCAATGAGGTCAGTCAGGACTTTGTCGAGAATACAACGTCTGGCTTTCATCAGGATGTTTCCCGAAACATGTGGTTTTCTTGCCATTCAGTAGCAGGTAATCCCAACAAAAATATCTAAAACATATTATTAACCTAAAACATATACAAACTAAATAGGAACCGAACTACTGAGCCAGAGCTCAATACCTTTGATATCTTAAGTATCTCCTATGGAAGGCTGGAAATCATCACAAATATGCAGATTTCTTGACCACCACTGCAACCGCTGTTTTCTTCTTTTGGCGGTAAATATTCAATATTATTTATGGTTCATTTTCTATCCTCCTTATGACTTCCACGTTGGACACTTTCTCCTTCCACGTAATTCGTGTACTACCAAAATACAAAGGCTACCAATGTATTTATTTAGTGTCAATTCCACAAAGAAGAGTAGAGAATAGGTAGCATAAGTATCTAGTATGAGTGAATTGTCCCGTTCAAGGGAGCGGGAGCAACCTGCTTAATTCTCAATAATAATATTAATAATCCTAAACAGTTTCAGTTCTGCATTATTGACGTTTCTAAAACATTTAACGAAAAAAATGTACGATATTTTCCACCGGATAATATAAAGACAGTGTTAAACGAAGGACAATATTCCAGTAATTGCATAGGGCACCAGCACATAAAACCAAAAGTGTCAGTATGCTAGTCAACACGATAGTCGTTAGTGTAGAAGAACGAGCCAAAATAATAATAAGATGAATATCAATAGAACAGTTAAGCCTAAAGTTTCTTAAGACAAATGCGAAAAAATACAAGGAGAGTATTTTAAAATGTATTGCTATGGATAAGAGAATGAACGATATAAGAATGCTTTAAATAAGACCTTGATGTCATGTGTTTGTGCTCGAATAAACTAGTTTCTGAACAATCATGCTACTGTTTATTATTAGATTTTCAATAACTAGAATGTAAAATAAAATATCTATTTTAAAGTTTGTTAGCAGAAAATATTGATAGACAACATATATGGTGAAATTGCAGTTTCAATTTAAATTCTTTTAAATAGTTTATAACGTCCATGCACAATTTTGCTAATTAAAAGCAAGCCTCACATATGTGCATTTTTTAATATGCACTAATAATGAAATTGTTATTTACATAGTATGAGCTTGAAAAGTTTAAATCACAGCAGATTGCAAATACAGTCTTTGGTAACATCTTACATTTGTTGATAATAATTGAACAAGGCTTTATAACCACGGGAGCTTTAATAACATGTATATTTATATATATTAAATTTACGGTTAGGTTCATGGTCAATGCCAAATTTATATTAAAACATAAATTCCTTCAACAAAATATACACTTTATAACACCTTTAAATCTAAACTCCTGACACAAATTTTTTATCTTTAAAAAAGTACAAAATCGAGTTTAGGTAAAGGATGACCTATTTTTTGTTTCCAATTAGTAATTTTCAATTAGTTTATTGAATTATAACTTTATTACCACTTTGTGGAATTCACTCGATGTCGCGTTTGGTCAATTACATTTAAATTTATCTAGTTATGTCGAGATGTTTGTTATCAAAAGAGTTTGAAGATTTCAACTTAATAGACCAAAAAAAATTTTAAAGTTTTCTATTCCCCTCGTTAGAATTTCAGGGACACGAAACGGAACGAGAATGAAAATAATTTAGTTTAAGAATCATGAAAGGAATATAATTTAGCATTGTGTAATACATGTATTATTTTAAAATATTACATGTGAGCCGTATCTAAGAGATTAAAATTAAACCTAACGATTAGAGAATAATTTGTTTTAAATTTGAGAGTACGAATTTAAAACTTATAGTTTTCTTAGAAGGTTTAAGTGATACGCAACATATTTCCAGCTGCAGTGGGCTAATAACTTTATAATTAGAAAGTTTCTGTAGATCTTCCACAAGGACAAGTAGATAAATTCTTTTGGCTATTGGATTCACCTTTAACAAAGCGTTATAGGTAGGTAAATAAAATAAAGATAGGTAGGTAAAACCGTTTACCGATGAAGCATGAATCTTTACGTAATTGGACGGCGTTTGTCAAATTTTACATTATAACTGATATAGGTACTAAAAGTTACGGCCTCTTTACCCACTAATCATTTCTATAATCGTTCCGTTACATCGATATTTTCGCGATATATAGGTATTTTCAAGATATACAGCAAACGTTATTTATGATGAGGTGAGTGAAATAACGTATTCATTCTTAGCTCGAGTTACCGGACTCCTTTAACGGGCGAAAAGATCGGAAGCTCAATTCATTCAGTGGCGGCGTATTGAAAGATACAGCTAAATGTTATCTGTCAGATTTGAGCCTGTTATTGTTTCACATTCACGATTTATTTAACTAATACGGTTAAAATGGATCTTTTTAAAATCTATGGACCAAAAGTTACACCATAAGTGGCGTCTGCTGTATATATACTGACCGTATTAACTGGATTTATACAGAACAATATGGCTCTAGTAGATGGAAATATTTAAGTAACGATAATACTGATGAAGATATAAAGGTATAAATGAAGGTATAAAAAGATTATCCGTAAGAGTATAAGAAAGATAATGTACCACCGAGAAAATTATCAGAAGTTACTTAAGTAATTTGATGACAAAGGGGAAAATTTAAATAAAAAATGGTCACAACAAATATATTATATATATATATATATATATACATATATATATATATATATATATATATATATATATATATATATATATATATATATATGAGTTCAAAAATGTAGACATTAGTTGGACAATCCAGTCTAGATTTCTCGTAGTTTTATTTATTAGAAATACTTAGAAAACGAGGTACGTTCAATAGATATATTTATAATTAGAACAATAAATTATTTTAAGATAATTTATCAATAGATTGTAATTCGATATTATAATTAAAAAAAATAGATCAACTTAGAGCTTATACTAATGTGTTCATATGAGATTATTTGAAAATTTTAAAACATCCTTTCTTTAATCTAATATATTACCACCAGATCGCCCGTATTTGCCTATCAAAAGACAACATCTTCCAACAACCAAATAATCTGTTCGCAATCTTTATTTCAAGCTCACTATATGTTCAATTTCCTTACATTAAATATCTTCTTCACGATTATCGTCTATGTAATCGCCGATTTTTTCAGTATCGGTAACTGTAATTTCTGTATTAGAACCCAGACTATCAGCATTACTTTCCGAAACGGTTCTTATAACGCCATCTACAAGAGTTCTTGCATATTGCGTTAATTCTGATGGAACTCCCGAAGAGTTATTGCTATTACCATTATTTTGATGTACTTCTTTTTTTCTTTGATGAACCGGAAGTGGCAGAGAAGAAGGTCTGGACTGATTGGAATGTTTTTGAAAAGGAAACGACTTAGCTGCATCGCCCTAAAATTAATACAAAAACATAAAATAGAAAAGCACGACAACATTAACTTTTATAAAAGCTTATTGATCGAGATAAGTAGCTCGCTGAACATAGAGCTATTTCTTAAGACTGTTTTATCGGTACACCAAAACCTAGATACAGTGTTTTCTCTGTTATTTACCGACAAAATATCTCGAAATTTGGACACGTTATTCAAAATTTTGTTGCCTTTAAACTGATGGTTTTACTTTTTAATTTTTTTTGAAAGTTCTTTTGAAATATCGGATTATACAGTTTAACGTTCTATTATAACCAAACTTTTTACGCCCATCACTTGAAAGAGTTTTTTTTCTGTAATCGTTGGTTTTTTTTTTCATCTTTTTATGTCCAGTAATAATCGAGAAAAGCGTGTTCAAACTTTGAAGAAAATTGCTAAAAAATACTGAAATCTAATAGTGAAACGTGTTACTCATCATTGGCATTTAGTTTCACCGTTATCGGCTGCGTGACGTCAAATCTCATGAACGTACGGTCAGATAGTTTGATTTGAAATCAATTTCAAGCTATAACTGCGAAATTGTTTATTTGTTTGTGACAACAAATTGTATTTTATTTTTGATAATAATATTTTTATGTTATTTTAAATTTATTATAAATAAACACCATGATGTTTTTTGCAGTCACGTTTCACAAATTTATATTCAATACTATATTTAGCTAAGACATATAAATTAAAAATGTGATAATTATTTTTAAAACATCTACGATAATCAAACAAAAAAGGTATTCCCGACAAAAGTAATTTGAATGGAGAATAATGCATTTGTTGTCATTAAACCAACCGCCGGCCGGCGCCACTGCGAAAACAGCTGTACCCGTCGTCGGCTGGCGTAAGCAGTGAGGAAAAGTAAGTGATACGCCCATTTCAAATCGCAGTGTGTTTTGACTGCTAAAACAGCCTTAAGCAATGTATTTTTGTGAACTAAAGTAAAATATTACGCGACATAACTGTTAGGCCGCTTTGAAAAAACAATCATCATCATCAGTGGCATTACAGCTCGTCATGAGCCAAAGCCTTCTTCAGAACAATTTTCCATTCGCCCCTCGCTCTTCTCTTCTCCATGCTTTAACTCCGATGAATTTTAGATCATCCTCTATGTTATCTTGATACCTAAGTTTTGGTCTTCCTCTGGATCGTCTTCCCACTGGTCCTCTTGAGTCGAAAATTTTTCTGATCGTTGCATCCTCATCTCGCCTAATTACATGTCCTATCCATCGAAGGCGTGCTAATTTAATATATTTTACAATGTCAGGTTCCCCAAAACTTCTGTATAACTCAAAGTTGTAGCGCCATAATAGCACTTATTGACAAGCACTATACTTCTTTTAATTTCTTCGCTGACATTGTTGTCTTTGGTCAGCAGCGAGCCCTGGTAGACGAAGGTGTGCACACCTTCCAGTTCCAGATCATCAATTAATAGTCTAGGTATCTGGTTGCCTGATCTAGTACAATACATATACTTGGTTTTATGTGCGTTTATTTTTAATCCCATTCTCAGTGCAGACGCCCTTAATGATCGAAATGCTTTCATCAGAGATTCTGTGGACCTAGCAATAATGTCTATGTAATCTGCATATCCGACCACTTGTACAGATATATTAAAGATGGTGCGATTCGTAATAATATGGCACTCTCGAATTACTTATTCTAGTGCAAGGTTAAATAAGAGACACGACAGTTCATCTCCCTGTCTCAGTCCATTTTTACAATGGAAGGGTCTTGAAAAGTCGTTTTGGATTCTGACTACACTCTCTACGCCTGTGAGTGTAAGTTCCGTTAGTTGAACCAGATGAAGCGGCATTTGAAATTCCACCATAGCCTGTAGAAGTTTTTGTCTGTTTACTGAGTCGTATGCGGCTTTGAAATCCACAAATATGTGGTGGGTGTCGACTCCGAACTCAAGCGTTTTCTCAAGAATCTGCCTGACTCTGAAGATTTGATCCGTTGTTGATTTATTGGGCCGGAAACCGCACTGGTAGTTCCCAACTATTCGTTCAGCAGAGGGGATCAATCTTCTGTACAATACGTTGGACAATACTTTATATGCCACGTTATAGGATGGTGCCTCTATAATTATCACACACCATCATATCTCCTTTTTTGTGAAGGGGTTTTGTGCAAATCATCAGTTTTTCTGTATCTGTTGCAGTTTTGGATGGACTAATCATCGGCCCCAAAAAACTAATTTATTGATTTAAAAAATATACATATTTCGATCCAACTAACAACATACGCATTCTTAATATTGTTTAGAAGCAATTCTGTGACATTTCGTCTTTTATTAACTGTATGTTAGAAACCATAAATCAAGACTTTCAGTTTCATAATTTTCAGCATATAACTTTTAACGATGGATCTGAATTTCTATTAGTTTGGATAGATACTAGTAAAGGATAGTTTTTTTTTTAATTTTTAGTTCGATACTTGCAACAAATTTCTTATACATAACTGGCCTTTTGGCTTTGCCAGTGCCATTAACCTAGGAAAAAAAACAAATTTCTCATCTGTGCTCATTAAAGCTTTAAAAAAATATCTGTACTTTAGAAATTGTTAGAGCACCCACAGACTAATTAGACCAGGGAACTAACGATTTTCCTATGACACTCGTTGATACAGGTATCTAACAACTGTTGTTGATACATTTTGTGATATGTAATAAATAAAATATGCAAAAGATGAAACGTCATTTTTTTACTTATAAACAATACATAAACAATATAAGCTCGTTATTTGATTTTAAATACCAATGGTGAAGACCAGTAAATTATATAAAAAATTGGCGTAATTTTACTGAAAAAAAAAAATTTTAAATGAGAGTTTGCAAAGATATTTTTTGTTAATTTGTTGCTTTTTTAATCATTTGAAAAATAACTTCAAAAATCGATTTTTTGAAAATTATTAAAAACTTTTCTAAAAATGCAGAAAAAAATTTATTTAACGTGAGAGTAAGGACAATGTGATAAATATTCAGCTTTAATAATTTCAAGAAATTTCACTTAAATAGATATTACAAAATTTAAAATGTTGATACCAAAAAGCTTTTATCCATAACGTTATTATGCGTGAAATATTGGGTTTACATGAATTCTGAAAGCACCAAATTGAAGAAAAATGATTATTTCATCAAATTAAATTATTTAACGATTAAACAGTTTTTATGTTAAATATTCTAAAATATATTTATTTTCAATGTGATTAAGAAATACAACTAAGCAAAATCAACTAAGCATATTTCTCCACTGTCGAATATTTTTTTTCTCTTTATTATTCATAGTAATTCTTGTTTTATGTTTTTTTTAATTCTAAAATAGGTAACTTAAATATTTATATATTATAGCTATAAATAATATCTTTTAAGAATAAATTTTACAAACAAATTAAATTTTTCTTGAATTATACTTCTTATTTTTAAAACTACTTTTCTTCTCGAGTAAAAAATATTACAAATACACTCCGCGTCATAGAAAACGGGCCACCCCAAATATTTAAAATATTTTCGAAATTATTATTTATTGCTACAAAATTAAGTATTTATTTTTTCGTATATTGAATCAATAACTCGTTTAGTATACAATTTCATCATTATCGTAAAACATCAATCAAAAATAAAAAATTTAAGAAAAATAGGAAATTTATTGAAAAAATCAACTTACAGTTTTTAAATCAACAATGAACTGTATATTAAAAATAAAGCTGGTATCCATTTTCAGTAATGGCTATTGCCACCTCGATTCTGGATGACACTCCTCATTCGATTTGGCATGGAATTTATAAAGTTTTGGATATCTCTTTGTGGAAAAGTGGCCGATTTCTCAATGAGTGCCATCTGGAGCTTTCCAGGTGTTGTTGGAGCAGATATGCGACCCTAACGCGACTTTTAGCAGGCTCCATATATGCTCAATAGGATTTAAATCGGGGCTTTGAGCAGGCCAGTTTATTTTTTGAATACCAACCTCGTCAAGGTACTCCGTTCCTATCCTTGCCGTGTGTGGTCTCGCATTATCCTGCATTAGCAGGAATTCGTTGCCAATAAATCCAGCATAGGGCATCACATGATGTTGTAAGATTTCCGTTATGTACCTTACTGCTGTTAACGCACCTCTGTCGATCACGACGAGATCCGTATGCGCATCAAAAGAAATCCTTGACCAAAACATTACTGAACCACCACCAAAAGTAACCCGTGGTGCCCGAGTGCAACCAGCGAAACGTTCTCCAGCTCGTCTGTACACCTTACTACGTCCGTCTTTACCATAAATAGACATTCTACACTCATCCGTAAACAATACTTTTTTTCAATCGTCTGCTGTCCAATTGATGTGCTCACAGGCAAAATCTAGTCTTCGACTTTTGTGAGCTGGGGAAAGTAAGGGTCCCGTTGCTGGACTACAAGCTGTCAAACCTTGCTCCCTTAATCTTCGCCGAATAGTAGAAAGGCTGATTGCTGGTCCTTGAGCTTGCTGTAAATGGCCTTGAAGCATTCTAGCGGTTTGGGTCCGATTCCGTAATGCAGCAAGAAGGACGACGCGATCTTCCCTAGCGGTTGTTTTCCTTTTTGGACCCGTACCAGGTCGTCGTTGGTGAGATCCTGTGACAATAAATCGTTGCTGGGTCCTTTGTACAGTCGAACAACTAACATTCAATTGTCTTGCAACTTGTCTTTGACTTAATCCACTTCCCAGTAACGTTACAATTTCAACCGATTTTTGAAAATTCTCCATCGTTATTAACTGAAGACTACTTCACACTAAGTCGGCTACTGTAATACTGAGATGCGTTTAAAACTCATTAGAACCCTTTACAATATCGCTTCCTCAAAAATTAATCAAGTTGTAAACAACTTTTTTCCAAAATTGTTTTGTTTTATAGGTTCTACGAATATCCTCAATCTAGTTACAGGGTCGTTTTGCTTTCGCAACAACCCATTTAACTTAAATAACCCAAGACACATTAAAAATA